AGAGCCCTCTCGCCGAGAGCTTTCCGAAAATGCATCGTTTCGTTCATGCATCCTCTTGGCCGTGGAATAATCCGAGCTTTGAAAATCGGTCCAGGAGGTGTGGTATCTTCTGTCATTTACGGTAGTGTTGCCGGGGTGCGAGTACCAGACTTGTCGACTTTCCCGCTCCATCGTAGCAGCAGTGGTGCTGTGTTGTATTTTTTTGCGTTGACATGCCCTTGTACTGCTCCTCGCGCAGCACGCAGCAGTCGTACCAAAACATTATTGCAAGGGGTGCGAGCTGTACTACATATTGCCGTACGGAAGGCCGTCTGGCTTGCAATCGGCTCGTGCTGTTGTTCTTTACCGTCCGTGCTGCCGGGAATGCGAGTGTCAGACTTGTAATTCCTCCGCTCCGTCGTAGCAGCAGTGCTGCCGTCTTTTTTGTAGCGCTGACATGCCATGGCACACGTGCTGTTGTTCCCGATTTTCGAGTTCAGAACGGCACACAGCAACAAATAGACATCTTATTTTTATACCGACACATGTGTATCTATTTTTGCTGCTCCGCCATTCACACCCGTCTCCCGTTCGTCGCTGCTGCTGCGGCGACAGGTGTGCACGGCCCTGAAGGTTTTAGCGTCGGGAAATACCTTCCAGGACGTCGCCACCTTCTCTGGGATGAGCGTCGCGACCGCCGATAAATCATTCCACCACTTCTGCGAGAAGCTTTCGGCGGCGCTCTGGGACACGTGGGTTAAACTCCCGGTTGGAAACGAGCTGGAGGAGGTGGAGCGGGTCGTTCGGAAGAGCGGCTATCCGGGGGCGATAGGTTCGACGGACTGCACTCACTTCAGGTGGCCAGGCGGACCCTCTTCGGAGGCTCGCATGAACACCGGCAAGGAGGGTTACCCGACCGTGGTCGTGGAGGCGACATGCGACCACACCGGTGAGTTTTGTTCGGGCAGCACCTCCTCTTGGCCTGTGTGTGCGTAGACGTGTAGACGAATTTCCTACCGCTGAGGGCCCACGAGATCGCAGCATTTCCGATACTGGCGCTCTATTGAGCCTAGAGCCCTTTGTTTGCGGATTCTCCCAAGCAACCAAGTCTCCGCATGACAGTGCTTTACTGCTGTAGTGCCTCCCTTTCGATCCTGACGAAAAACGGGGAGGGGGGGGGGGGGGGGGG